TGTCTGATAGGCATTAAAAAAAAAAAAAAACATTTAAGGGGGACTGGCATTGTGGCTCAGTGGTAGAGTGCTTGCCTAACATGTGTGAGGCACTAGGTTTGATTCTCAGCACCACATGTAAATAAATAAAGATCGACTTGACAAGTAAAAATATTTTAATAAAAAAACATTTAAGGCATTTAGTTGTCATTTATCATGACTTCCTTGGTTTGATATTTGGAATCACCCAACCAACTATCATTTCCAATTATATTGGCTAAGATTTGCTACTTTTTAAGATTTCTGAAGAATAGCTTGGCTTTTTTTGTTAAAAAGAAATTTCAGTTTCATGTGTAGTAAATCTATCCTGAAAAATAAGTTCAACTCATGGTGGTCTACATATAAGATGTATGAGACAATGAGACAGCAAAATCTCAAAAGAATAAAAGCAAATATCCACCAATAGGGAAACTATTAAATAAGTTGTAAATATAAGTAATTCCATCAGATAAAATACAGTATACACTGCTTAAAAATAATTCTCAGGGTAAAGTATTCTCTTTTGGATGATTTACTCATTTGAACCACGAACCATCTTTTTAAAATTAAAAAATAAATTGAACTAAAAATTGTGAATGGAACCACCATTTGACCCAGCTATCCGTCTCATCGGCCTATACCCAAAGGATTTAAAAACAGCATACTATAGGGACACAGCCACATCAATGTTTATAGCAGCACAATTCACAATATCTAAACTGTGGAACCAACCTGGATGCCCTTCAATAGATAAATGGATAAAAAAAATGTGGCATATATACACAATGGAATATTCTCAGCAATAAAAGAGAATAAAATTATGGCATTTGCAGGTAAATGGATGGAGTTAGAAAAGATAATGCTAAGTGAAGTTAGACAATCCCAAACAATTAAATGTCGAATGTTTTCTTTGATATAAGGAGGCTGATTCATAGTGAAAAAGGGAGAGGGAGCATGGGAGGAATAGACGAACTCTATAGATAGGGCAGAGAGGTTGGAGGAGAAGAAAGGAAGCATGGGATTATAAATGATGGTAGAATGAGATGATCATTATTATACAAAGTCATGTATGAAGACATGAATTGATGTGAATATACTTTTTATACAACCAGAGATATGAAAAATTGTGCTCTATATGTGTAATAAGAATTGTAATGCTCTCTATTGTCATATATAAATAAAAACAAACAAAAACAAGAAAGAAATCTGAGATTGAGGAGATTTCACTCTGGTCATAAATTTAATTAAACCCTAAATTTCTTCATCCTTGGATTGGTATTCTTGCCTAATCTGTGTTAAACAATATGGACTATGTGTTTGTTTATTTTTGATTTGGAGAATTTTAAGTATAAATAAAAAATGTTTTCAATATATATGTGTATGTGTACATGTATATGTGTGTATATGTTTTCATATATATATATGTGTGTGTGTGTGTGTGTGTGTGTTTTGTGTGTATATACAGATCATGTTTTTTAATGCCACAAAAATGACTTCTTAGAAAAGTGCTATTGATTAAAATCTCAGGTACCTAAAAAAATGTTGATTCAGAAACATTCCAATATATTTTTATTAACATAATCAGTTTTATAATCAATATTTCTGTTGTGTAAATAAAAAAATAAAAAAATAAACAGCTAGAACCAATAAAAATAAATAAATAAAACCATCCAGCTAATTAAAAAATTAGGTCGATCTTCCTATATTGACATGGAGTCATGTACTTTAATATATTGTTTTACAAAATGATATAACTATACATGTATAAAACACATATATTTTGTTTTGTTTAAATAAGAAGAAACACTATTGGGGCTGTATGTATATGCATAGGAATATGCACAGAAAAAAATGTGGAATGATATATCCCAAATATTAACATTTATAATGTCTAAGGAGAGGGACTAAAAGAAACTGAGAGGGAACTCATTTATTCTATTAATATGTTTCTGTATTGTGTAATTTTAAAACAACAAATGTGTTATAGTAATAAAGATTATTTTGCTTTTAAAAAGAAAACTAGGGCTAGGGTTGTAGCTCAGTGGTAGAGCACCTACCTAGAATGTGTGAGGTACTGTGTTCAACCCTTAGCACCACATAAAAGTAAATAAAATAAAAGTATTGTATCCCTCTACAACTAAAAAAAAATTACAAAAAAGAAAAAGCCTAAATGTACTCCAAACAGAGCACTAGCCAAATAAATTATAGTAGCTGATATATCCTGTGATTCTTCTAATTATGTTTGTGGGGAATAGTGAGGAAATGTTTATATGTTACACATTCTATTACACATTATTTTAATAGAAAAAAACAGAATATTTTATATTTAAGTTTAAATACACACATGTATCTTTTATTTGAAATATTTGTAATTGCAAGCTTAAATGAAAAAGAGCTGCTATCATCAACCTTATATTTTGTAAGCACAATTCAGTATATATCCCAGGCCATTAGCAGGGGAAAATCAATGCTACCAACTTATACATATTGTAGACTTGTATGGATTTGCTCTTTCTACCCTTCCCCCCACATGATGGCATATTTTTGTTCTCTTTAGGGAAATTCAATTAACAATATTAGTCTTCTTCTGTGTCAGTGATAGACATCACAGAAATCTTCCTCACCACCCAAAGACATGTAAGATAGGCTTGCTCATTCCTTGACTTTCCAGTTAACAGGAGAATTACTGCCTCTTCTATAAATGACTCTATATGCTTCTTGTCATAAACATGGTGACAGCTCCTGAAATCAATCTTTCATGACCTTATTGATTAGGACACTTAGAAATAATGAGACTTCACTGGTGGCAGAGTAATGCTTAGAAAAAGAAAAAAAAAATACTCCAATGGGGGCTTGCCTATTAACACTGCCAAAATTTATCTTCCCATTGCTCTTTTCCTATTACAGACATTCACCTAGAAATACATAAGATAAAAAGTTAATAATCAATTTTGTGGTTCATATATTTCCTCTTAATACATGCTGATAAAATTTTTTTAAATTAAGAAACCAAATTGATTTGAAAACAACTTTGGATCGCTGTCTTCCTAACCTATGAGATCAGAGTATGAATTCTAAAAGAACCTGAAATTTTCTGAGTCTAACTATAGGATAAAAGCTACTTAGGAAAAATCTGGACATCTCGAAAGGAAAACCTTTAAAAACTGTTTCACTTGTCTGAGTGCTTTCTGCTTAGCTTACATGATCATACTTGAAAGCAAAATACAAAATAATTTTAGAATTGGAGTTAACACTAGAGTTCTTCCAATTCAATGCATTTCTCATATATTGCAGATAAAAATAATTGTAGCCCAGAGAAGGCAAGAGACTTGTCTCAGGTTAGACCTGAATAGGGTTAGAATTAGAATCCAGAATTTCCATACGAGTTCTGAGATAAGACAGTTTCACAATGTCCTTTATTTTTTTATTTTATTTTTTTTTAAAGAGAGAGTGAGAGAGGAGGGAGAGAGAGAGAGAATTTTTTATATTTATTTTTTAGTTCTTGGC